CCCTTTCCATTGACCCTAATGGGTTACTCGACCCATATTGACCCACCAATAGATTGGGTGGGTCAAATGGGTTGGGGTCAAGATTGGCAGCCCTAGAGAGGAAGAAAACATTCGGTTGAGATGTTTTGGGAATGCAAGTTCGGTTTCACAGTAGTGGAACAATTTAAATGTTTTGGGCTCCCAAAGGTATCTTTAGGAACCCAAACACACAATCTTTTAAGTGACATGGAGACCTAGAGTTATTAAGCTTAACTTATTTTTTGTAAAAAACTCAAAAAAGCCTAGAGGTAGCAAAGTGTGCTCCCAAGTAAACTAGAACACAACAATGTGCCAACTCAGCACATTGCGGTTTTATATATAGATATAGATATGAATAATCTCCAGACTCTAGCTCCACACTATGCCTTTGAGGATTTGACTCGCCTGAATATATATGATACCCGATCGATCTCCTCCATTTGTGCATGGGCCAAGTTAATGATCAAATGTTTTATCAACTCTAACACCCTCCATTACCACCCTAGGATGCAATTAAGGCGGTGTTTGGCATCGGTGTCATTTTCTGAGAAAACAGTGCCAATGTAGGTGTCATATCAGAGAAAATGGTGTTGAAAGCAATGCACTCTTGTTTGATACCATTTTTTTAGAAAAAACGTTGCTCTAGACCACGCCTTGGAAATCGGGAAAGTGTGGTTTGGAGCAACGTTGCTGCCAACACTGGTACCAAACAAAACCAGTGTTGTTTTATCAAAAAATGCCTATGTGGCAACATCAGTTCCAAACAAAAAATAAGCACCATTTTCCTGAAAACAGTGCTTACAACTCCACATGCCCAGCACCATTGTTCTCAAAAGATGGTGCAATGCTTCCAGCATTGATGCCAAACACCTACTAAGTCTTGGTAAAGGCAATGCCTCTCATTTCATGAGGCTAATGTCATAAGTAATGACCAGGCAACCAAATTTGTTTAATAATAAAATAATAAAATAATAATAATAATAATAATAATAATAATAATAATAATAATAATAATAATAATAATAATACATTTAAGATTGTAAAGTGCAGGGCTTGCAGGCATTGTTCACCCAAGTCCACTATATCTCATATTGTAAAAACTTTCCAATAGCCTAGGTTGTAAAAATGTAATTGGGCATGACTAGACTTGTTCATGGGCCGAGCTTTGCCTCTTTACCAACAGAAAATGTGCAGACCCGACCAGCGAGCCTAGATCTTGAGCCCGAGTCCGGCCCTTATAAAAAGCCCAAAGCCCGATCTGTACACAAAATGTCTTATTTTCAGTATACTTTTATAAACTAATATTATATTAATTTAGTAATAATTTAATAAAGGAATAAACTAATTTGTATTTTCTAATAGTAAATTAATATTTATTAATAATTTAAGAAACAAATATATATTTGTTGTATATAACATAAGTATTTTTTTATTATATGTAATCATGTTGGGCCGGGCTTATTTGAGAAAGCCTGAGCCCAGCCTGAAAAATGATCGGGTGTGGTATTTAAAGTTTGAGCCTGAGCCCATGGGCCTGAAATTTTGTCCAAGCTTAAAAATTAATGGGCCAAGCCAGGCCAGGCTGTCAAGCTACCCGACCCATGAATAGGTCTAGGCATGACTTGTTACCATGGTTCAAAATTCTTTTGACAAAAAACTGGTAAATTACAATGACCCCCATGTACTATGGGGCCATTGACAAAGATCCCCTGCATTTTTTTCCACAACAAAGACCCCTCCTGAACTTTAGCCATTAGAAAAAGACCCCCTCCGTTAGCGTTCTATCAATTAACTTCAAAAAAGATTTTCATCTAACTATTTAAAGTTTTCTAAATGTACAAAGTACCCTTTTCTAATTTATTTTACCTTTTTCTTTAATTTATAAAATCATCTTACTTTTTTTAACACTTTGTATTGTTCATATTTGAGTGCTTGCCTTGGGACCAAAGTGACGACACTGGTTGGCTTGATTACAGGGAATGGGATTAGAAGAGGAACAGGCAAAAGGAGGGAAGAAGATCTTGGTCGGTAGAAAAAAATGAGAGGAGAGAGAGAGAGGAAGGAGAATGAGAGAGAGAGAAAGGAGGGAGTAGGGCATGTCATCGCAGCAACTCCTAGCAGTGGTGGTGTTGGTGCAAGATCATGGCTACAAAGGACGTAGAGAAGGAGAGAGAGAGAGAGGAGGTTGGGTTTGATAGTGACAGAGGTAACGGGTGGAGACAGTGAACGATGGAGAATAGGGGAAAAAACAATAAGAAGAAGAAAATAAATTAAGAAATAAATAAAAGGAGGAAGGAAAGAGAAGGAAGAAAGAGATGGCTGGAAAGTGAAAATGGAGAGACAGAATGTCGAGGGAGGGAGGATGGCCGAGAGAGAGAGAGAGGACATCACAAATGAACTTGCCGGAGATTCTTTTTCCTTTTTCTTGGCGATAATCACTGGTGAGAGTCAGATTTCTCTTTGTGAGACATTTCTCACCATAGAAAATCAGATATTTTCCTTTTCGGGAAATGAGCAAAGGTATTTTGTGGGGTACGTGTTTTGTGGTAATGTCTGGGGGGGGGGGGTTTGTAAATTACTGAAAACAGCAAGCATGGACATGTAAAAGACTTAAACCTCCCTTGATAGTCATGCTAAATACTAAGACCCCCTTGTATTTTTAAAATGAACTAATATCTCCCATGTGAAACGTTTGATCTCTTATGTGTAACAGAATGATTTAAAAGACAAGCTTGCCATACAGGATTCATGGTGGACAAAATTAGAGAATTTGTGCGTTGACTTTCTCTCTCCCTAAACTGCTGGAGTCTCTTATCCTGTAAGAATCTAAGATCTTCCATCATCTCCTAATCTCGTATTAATTCTTTTATTGATCTGAATTTTACAAGTAAATGGCGGAGAAAGAGGTGCAGCGATGGTAGGTTGTGTATCAAATCATGGTGGTGATATTTACTGGCCTTATTTTCAGATTTAAATTATTAAAGCATGAAATTTTGTTCCGTTTGCAGTTGATTTTGTATTTTCTTTTAACTTTTTGTCATAAGAGTACTCCTTGATGGAAGGGACAACAGGCTAGGGAGATAAATAGGGTTTTGGCCGTAGAAAGGGTAAACAAGAAAACCTACGAATATGGTGAGAGAAGCATGATACAAAGCACATAGTTTTTCTTTGTTAAATTCTTTTGCGATGGTGAATTGAACACCAACAGCAGTGAGCCTTTGTTCGAAGGTCTTTGTCCAATGAAATTCACACATGTAATTAAAGCCTAGCCCAACCTTCAAAGGGCAAATTTAAGTTTTTGGGACTATTTAATGCCACACTTGAGAGGTTACATGTGGTGGTGTTCTGACGGAATCCTAATGGAGTGGAGGGGAGATTCTTGTCCAATAATGTCACATAACAGGGAGGTATCTGTCCATTTGAAAAATATAAGGGAGGTCTTAGTATTTAGCATGAATATCAGGGGAGGTTTAAGTTTAAGTCTGTCTTTTACCCTGAAAAGAAACATGGGACTCAAAGGTTTAACGTGTTACCTATCATGTCCAAGAACATTCTCGAGATCCGCTTCAGTCCAGCCACGTTTTGTCCGCGCACCGTTTGCGCATTTCGAGAACATGCCGTGTGTTCTCTGAATCGTGTGAGGTGCTGAAGCGTGAGAATGGGCTTAAACGCCGTTAGTGGTTCGCAGATTCACGCTCTTTCCTCTCCGCCCGGCGGCGATTGCAAATTCATCACCGCCAGCGACAAACAATTATCACCGGCGGCGAATGGCATTAATTGGAACAACGAAACAAGATGAAATGCAAATTTCAGACAAGGTCTCTATCAGGAAGCTGTCTACATCTCATCCTCGAAGAGGAACACAGAGAGTCCGAAAGATTTATACAAGCCATACCCATGTAGAAACCCGAAAATTGAAGTCAAAGGCTTCATCACAAGCTGATACCAATTTGGCGACATCCACCGCAAGGATTCTACCTTCTATTTTTGGCAATTCTTCGGCTTCGACCTAGTTGACCTCTGAGCCTATTTCCGATCGAACAGCACATTGTTCTATTCGGCCCTCGAATGGGAAACAGCCCTCGAAGAAAGCTCATCCCTCACCGACTTTTTCAGAAGATGTGCGGGGAAAAGAGAATCAGTCCTGTACCCCAGTGAAGAGGCCCCCCCATTGTCCCCATTGAGAATAGATCAGTAGAGAAGCGTTTGGATCCTCTGAAGCTACAGGTATGTATTTGCCATTTCTAGTGCAGAAACACTTCCCAGATGTCTTCTAGTGCCACAGTAAATTTGAGCATGAGTTTCTAAATGTCCAGCTAGAATGTGGAGCCATAGAACAAGACACAGAAGAACAGAGCACATCAGTTGTTCTTGAAGAAACAACACCAAAAGGAGGGAGCGTGATGATTGTTTGTCGCCGGCGGTGATGATTTTACAGTCGCCGCCGGGCGGAGAGGAGAGAGCGTGAATCTACGACAGAAGAGGAGAGGAATGGAGAGAGCGTAAGTCTACCACACCACTAACGGGGTTTAAGCCCATTCGCACGCTTCAGCACCTCACACGATTCGGACACGCGGCGCATCTGCTGAATACGTGAACAGTGCACGGACAAAACGTGCTTGGATTGAAGCCGAACTCAACATTCTCAACTGCCAATGTTTTCTCCTCAGATCATAGGTCTAAGCCTGGTTTGGGCCTAGCACTGCCCAGATATGGGCCACATGGCTAAACTTGGGCTAATCCAAGGGATCTCTAACTTAAATTGACCCAAAACTTGTATGTAAGGCTATGTTTGTTTTTTTATAAAATGGGCATAAATATTTATAAATAGAAATACTATGGTAAAAGCTTTGATTTTTGACTTTGAGATTCATTACTTGTATAGTTGTGCATATCAAACTACATAGCTACCCACGGATAAATAAGCTAATGTTTTGTACACATGGGATGAGATCGGCTTCCATCAGGTGCCTACACCTTTCCAATCTCCTTTTTCAATGCAAGGCTGTAAAGGTTGTTCGAACGGGCTTTGTCCTAATCGAAGCTGAACTCATATGGGACCATCCAGAGTCTATTTTTTCCATCTAACTTTGTTTTGACATAAATGGCAAGGAAATTAAGGCCATGTTTGGTTTATTGCTCTGAGCCTCATTTTTTTAATTCTTGTTCATTCTGGGCAAGAATGAGCAAGAATGAATAACATTAAAGTGTTTGGTTACAAAATTTTTGTTATGGTCCACATTCTTTTTAGAATGAAAAATCAGTCCATAGCACAAAAATTGAGGTTCATTCTTTGAGGAAACTCTACCTACAAAACTGCTACCATTGAAGTACTTTTACGAAAGCACTTCTATAAAGTTACTTTTACACAAAATAACTTTTATGAAAGCACTTTAATAAAAAAACACTTTTATAAAAGTACTTTTATTAAAGAACTTACAAAAGTACTTTTATGAAAGCATTTTTATAAAAGCATTTTTTTAAAGTGCTTTTATAAAAGCACTTTTATGAAAGTATTTTTATTAAATAACTTACAAAAGTACTTTTATGAAAGCATTTTTGTAAAAGCACTTTTTTGAAAGTGCTTTTATAAAAGCACTTTTTTGAAAGTGCTTTTATAAAAGCACTTTTATGAAAGTGCTTTTATAGAAAAACTTTTACAAAAGTATTTTTACATAGGACATTTGTTAGTCTAAAAAGAATTCATTTTTAGGAAAAAAACGCTTGGTTCATAGCAATATTTTCTCATTGTACCTATTTTTACCCATTCTTGTCCATTTTAGAATTTCATCTTGGGTAAGAATGGGAATTGAACCAAACATGGCCTAAATTGTTAAGGGGAGAAAATATACTAACATGATTTTGACATTAAGTGCAACTTGTTACAATTCAATGACACTGTTATCTGGACACATACTCCAAGTGTACATTTCCTACTTCTTCAGCTTACAATATGCTTAGACCTGTTCATGGGCCAGGTCGGGCCGGGCTCGGGCCGGGCTTTCACTTGTCACTAATGAAAATATACTAGGCCCAAACCCGAACCCAACCCGACCAACGAGCCTATAACTTGGGCCTGAGCCCGGCCCTGGTAAAAAGCCTGAAACCCGAGCCCGAGCCCGAAGCCCGACCTAATTGAAAAAAAATAAACAATTTTCCCTATTCAAATTAGAATTAAAAATTCAGATAGTTTTTTTTTTTCTATTTAAATGAACAATGGACCTACAATATGGTATTTTTCCCTTTCTTTTATATTTTAAAACACAATTTTACATTCTTAAATCAAAAAATTTATTCAAATGGACATAATCACATAACTAATTTTAAGTTTAATATTAGGTCGGGCCGGGCCGGGCTATTTTGACAAAACCCGAGCCCGGCTCGAATTTATTGCGGGCCGGGCTTTTTGGCCCGAATTTAAGCCCACGGGACTATAAGCATGTTCAAGCCCGTCCGGGGGTCGGGCCGGGCCGGGCCGGCCCGTCGGGCCACTCGGCCCATGAACAGGTCTAAAATATGTTGAGGCCCCGTTTGGTTCGTAGGAATAGGGGTCCAGAATCGGAATGGGCTATTTTGATTCCAACTATTTGGTTGGGTTAAATCAGAACCCCATTCCCATTTCTATTGGAATGCCATTCGTCCATTTAAGGAATACCCCCCCCCTCGCCCCTTAGGGATGAAATCTCATTCCTGTTGATTCCAATTTTCATTCTCATTCTTGTTTGAATCAAAACAGACTATGGGAATATACCAATGTTTTTAAGACCGACCCAGAGGTCAACCCGATTTTCCCATTGGGTTGTGGATCACCAGTTCGCCTAAGTGGGTCAAACAGTTCAGTTCGGTGATGTTGTGCCACTCGTTGCTCGTCGGCGAGCCTATGATAGTAGATATACAGTTGCCGCTCTGAACTCTGATTATGGAGGTTTGATAGTTGATACAGTCTCGCTTGCCGGTGAGAAACAAAGTTGTGAAGCCTGTGATGTTGTGCTGCCCAAATTAGTGTCACCCAAAGCCCCAAACTCGGTGGTCTAGTGTCGCCCAAACAATGAAGAATAGTCGATAGCATTGCCCAAACGTGAGGAATGAGAATGGCATTTAGCTAGGTGTTGCGGGCAATTGGAGATCTGATTCCGTCGATCTTCTTCAGCTGTTCATCCTGTTTGTGAGTTCGTCCTCTCCTGTTCTAAATCTTGCATAAACCCTAGATCTAGAACAGAGAATGTGATAAAAAATGTAAAAAGAGAAGGGGGGCTTGAGTTGGGACTTTGGGGGGATTTTACAATTTTTTAAACCTATAAATGCAAAAAGAGAAGGGTTCGACAGTCGAACCATCACCTGCTTATCAGGTCACCGGTTGGACGGTTCAACTATTTGGGTCATCCAGTCTGCTAACTTGTGAACTGTTTTTACGAAAATACCGGGTTTTATGAGAATTGGACCTGGAAAGTCGACCTAGTGATGGTTCAAATGGTTCAACCCTTTGGGTAATGGCGGATTAAAAACCTTAAAGTAGACCATTCTAATTCTAACTCCAAAGAATTTTGATTCCAATTTCGACTGCAAACCAAACGGACCCTGTTATCTTCTAATCCTCGGTCATCTTGGTATGCTTCTAGTCTATCCTTGAGAGTACTGATGTTAATCCGAAGTGGTATCTTAGTGATTGGCTGATGAAATGGACGAAATTTGGCATAGGGCGGTTTAATCTAAATTTAGTTTCTTGTCTGACCATCTCTAAAAATCTTATTAATAATGATAAAAACATAATGATATAGCAGCTTAATCATATCTGATGCATGTAGTTTAGTAGCTAGGGCTGAGGAGTGGGCACTGGGGAGGGGGTGGAGCGAGGTTTGCTTTTCTTTTGTGCGTGTGTATAATTTGTTTTTCCTTAAAAGTTAGGGGTGCAATTTGGGCTGGCATGAGTTAGCATTTTTTCACTATTTTGGGCATGAGCCCATCCTGAGTTCACCGAAGTTGCACTCGGTGTCTATAAAAAACCGAAAAAGTGAATCGAACTAACGAAACCAAATCAGTTGGTTTTCGGTTTCGGTTCATCAATATAAAAAACTAACTGATTGATTGATTTTGGTTTGGTTTCTAATTTGGTTTCAGTTTATTAATTGATTGGTTTCATTTTACAGTTTTGGTTAACTAATTCGGTTTCGAGCAACCAAACCGGTTAAAACTAAATCGATCAACTGATTAACCAATTGAATTTGGTTTGGTTTCATTTTCAGGTTTTTTAAAAATTTAAGGATCGGTTCAGTTTGGAAGAAAGGTTCACGGTTCAATTAACCCCTTACAAAAAAAAACACTTTTATGAGTTAAAACTTCGGAGTATAAGGACTTCTCCCACCACATTTCGATCAAGGAAAAGGAAAGTGATCTGAATATATAGTTGGGTTGAAGGTCGTGCTGGATTTTATTGAACTGAAAAAGTGAAATTCTGTCATTTTTAAAGTATGAATACTTGGATGGAATTTGCATAAAACTTTGTTCCCTCACCTAATATATATGAAACTTCAGCTAGAAAAATACTTGAGAACAACACAAGCTTTAGAGTTGTGCCTTGTTGCATTTAGGAAGGTGACAATCATGGCCCAACTTGGCTTGAACCCCCTTTAATTATGGCTGTGTTGGGGCAAGACGCCTCTCCAGATTTTTGATATGGAGTTCTAGCTTTGGCCCAGCCAGCATGGAAAATATCTGACTGTACGAATATATGTATATTTACTAGTTAGATCCAAGCACGGAATCTTCCTAGTTGACCCTTGTTGAGGGGTAATTTGGCACGATCTATTTATATACGGACACGTGGAAGCAATTTGCTGATTGGATGATGACTCGGCATTTCCTACCATTTTAGAGAGCCAGGTCAAATCGGGTACTTCGGGCACCACGGCTAAGATCGAGGTCCGAGCAGTTCGCGATGGTCTGACCTGTTGAGGTGGCACATAGCCAATTTCTAGAAACAAGCCAATTGTCCCCGACCTCTTTGGGATCACACTGCACATCTGTGAGCCTTATCCTCATCCCACCCGGATCGGACAAATTCGATAAGCCTTATCGGCTAACACGACGTCCACCTCTTGGTGCGGAACGGACTCCTAAAAATACGAGACGGGGATCTCGAAGGTGTTTCGTAAGACATACGACAGCTCACCTATATAAGGGCATCAACCCCAACGTCGCATGGTACGTGTGATTTATTTCTCACTAGCCTACTTGTTATCAAGCTTTCAGCTCGCATTACTAACTTAAGCATCGGATTGTCCACACTGGGTAACCCAACCTGAGCTCTCTAAACATTGTTTTCTTACAGCTCAACCATCCAGGTAAGTAACCAATGTCCGAATTACCTTCCAGCTAAGAGCATCCAGATTGCGCACCATCAACCCCCCTACCTATTTTGTTATCATGTTTTTTTTTCATATTATTAATAATTTCTTATTTACCAAATACTAGGGGTGACAATTTGCATTCATGTGTCGTGTTTGTGTCATATCAAAGTAGGGGTATTCAAATATATGGGTCAATACGAACAAAAAATGATTAATTAATCATGTTAAATTTTCAAACACGAATATAACTTGTTTATTACACGAGTAATACAAAACGACCATTGTAACCTGAATTAACACAATTAATTCGTTTAACTCCATAGTAAATAACACATGTAACCCAAATTAGTATAAAACCGACACAACTAACCTTTTTAAATTAAACAATAACAATATTTAAATGGTAAAATAAACATTAAATCATTATCTAAATGAATCCATAAAAACCATTCAATGCCATCCTTACCATAATTATCTCAACCAAATGTACATGCATGATCTAATACTTGAAACT